GAGATTGCTTATAGCCAGGTTTAAAACAAAGCAAAATAATACACAATTATAGACTAAAACTAATATAAACCAAATATAGACTTTCACTGGACAAAAAATAATCGGTCTAAATAGGGAAGTATATATCCTCCTGACTACCAGGAAGAAAAAAAACTTCCCCAATTATCTGGAAGGCAATAAGCAATCTGAATTTTATTTTTTTATTTTTTTATGATTATTTTCAAAATATCATGTGTCCACTACAGCCGACATCAGAAACTGAACCAAGCCATAATGACAATAAGTAAATCCCAAAGAAAATACCAAAGTCAACAGAAGAATTATGACCCAAACTCAATGAAGAGATATTCAAGATTCAAGATTCAAGAAACTTTATTAATCCCAGAGGGAAATTGCTTTCCATGTTACAATTGCTCTCAAGAAAGAAAGAAAGAAAGATAATAAAATGAATAAATATATACCTATATATCAATAAATTAAAAATGAATAAGTAAAACATACAAATAATAAATAAAACTATACCACTGAAAATGGTAGTTTAGATCAAATATGAAATTAATTAAAGTGGAATGGAATGACAAATGTGGAGTATAATAAGTCCAGTATGGTAATGGTAATTAAGTACAGTAGTTATATAGTATGTATTGCACACTAATCTTAGTATTAATAAATAGGCAGTAATAATAATAATAAATTGCATTGACAACGTGAACAGGGTCCAGCTCCATGCCAAGTACAGAGCCAGCCCTCCTAATTAGTTTGTTCAGTTTATTTCTGTCTGCCACCTTTATACTACTTCCCCGACAGACCACCGCATAGAAAATGACACTAAACACCACAGACTCATAGAACATCTGCAGCATGGTGTTGCAGACGTTAAAAGACTTGAGTCTCCTCAGAAAATACAGCCTGCTCTGACCTTTCTTGAAGAGTGCTGTTGAATTTGACGGCCAGTCCAGTTTGTTGTCTATATGGACTCCCAGGTATTTGTAATCTGCAACAATCTCCACTTCCTCGCCATGGACAGACAAAGGAGTGACGGCGGTCCTGGATTTTTTAATGTCCACTACAAGTTCCTTTGTTTTCCTGACATTGTGTAGGTGGTTTAGCTCACTCCAGGTAACAAAGTTGTCCACTACCGTCTGATACTCTGAGGTGTCACCACCCTGAATACATCCTACAACCACAGAGTCATCAGAGAACTTCTGAAGATGGCAGAATTCGGAGTTGTAAATAAAATCAGATGTATACAGGGTGAAGAGGAAGGGAGAAAGAACTGTCCCCTGAGGAGCACCGGTGCTGCAGATCACAGTGTCGGACACACAGTTCTGTATGCGGACGTACTGGGGGCGGCCAGTAAGGTAGTCCATAATCCAAGAGACCAGAGGAGTGTACACCTGCATGTTCTTCAACTTCTCCTCCAGTAGGGTGGGCCTGATGGTGTTAAAGGCACTAGAGAAGTCAAAAAACATAAACCTCACAGAGCTCCTCGGTTTCTCTAAGTGAGTATAGGTTCGATGTAGCAGGTGGACGATGGCATCATCCACTCCAAGTTGAGGCTGGTAGGCAAACTGTAACGGATTAAGGAAGGGTTTGACAATGGGCCGAATGGATCGGAGGATCAGTCTCTCAAAAACTTTCATTAGGTGAGCGGTCAGCGCTACTGGCCTGTAGTCATTGGGGACACAGGGCCGTGCTACTTTTGGTACCGGCACTAAGCAAGATGTTTTCCATAGCACTGCAGGGTAAAAAATAAACTGTTTCCTTGTTTTCCACCTTTTTTATGTACGGAAATCCCGATTTCTCCCGTTCTCTCTCACAGACACACAGTACAGACATGCACTCGAGCACACACGCGGAGACGCCGACAGCAACTTGTTGCCAGAGCTGCGGCTGCCCCGCGAATTTATCAGTAAAACAATTTCGCAGCTGAAAAGCTACATGTCATTTCTCAGTAGCGAGGTTCTTGAAGCAGTTCAACTTAAAGATTCGCTATTAGTTAAATCGCTAAATCTCTCTCTCTCTAATCAGTGCGTTAGACTGCATTAATAACTGCTTTAGCATGCCTCTGTTATTAGCTCTAAAATTAGGTTTTGGAAATTGCAATGGAAGGTTTATGAGGTGCACAAGAAATGAGTTCAACACACACGAGATTTCAGGACGGAAACATGACAAATGTCTAAATCATCTTAACAATGTCTTGATGTGTGGTTGTGACTCCAGGCCGTTAAAATTATTAGAGAAATAATGCACTCCCCGAAGTGGTAATGTGGCCATACGCTGGAGCCTAATGGAACGGTATTTCTCCATTCTCAAACAAATTAAGATGATTTTAATTGACTGAACACAAGCGCTTATTGTGATAGAAAACACTGATTACGAAAAAAATTTGTTTGCTGGGGTGGTAATATTATATAGGTCTATTAATAAGGAAGGGGGGCCCAAAATATTCCTATTTTCAGGCGCTGCGTGATATCATTGTGCCTGCTGCACCCATGGTACGGCAGCAAATTTCCTTGATTATTATGCCGGAATGAGTATAGTTCCTAGCCATATCGGCCTAGAAAATCGCAACTTTTCATTTTTCCGTCGGTGAACTACAGAAGAGTCAAGTTTTAAATGGGAAAAATATTGAAACTATTTTAGAGCGAGATGCTAATGGTCTAATAAGATTCAATGATCTATGCTAAGCTACAGCTAAAAGCGCTACGCCAGACCCGGAGATCTGCTGAATGGATTCAAAAACGGTAAAACTCAACTGTTTTAACTCTTAAGGGGAGTTGGAAAATGAGCCTATTTTCAAAAATAGTGGAGTGTTCCTTTAACAAAAGTTAAAAATAAATAAGAATTGGGATCAACTATACCCTCTGCTGGCCGTAAACAGATAGTCCATGCAACTTCCCTTTTTATAGTCCAGCTTATATCTCATACTTCAGGAAACCACAATTTAATGAACCCATGAGACCTGTGACAGACTTTCAAAAAAGGGCAATGAATGTTGGAATAACATGTTTAATCTAATGAAATGAAATGCATTTATAGTGTCATTTGTTATATTAGATTTGATTTATTTCTACACAAAGCACACTCCCGCACAGACGAAAGACCAATTTGTGGTTACCACTTGCTGTTTATTGATTGAAAATAAAGGGAAAAACAGCACTGTGAGAAAAGTATTAAACTCAAGAGCACCTGAAATGTATTAAATCACTTTACACGAAAAAGAAAACAACAAGCATTTTTCTGTATCTGGTGGCCTTACCTTAGATTACATTAGATGACATAGTCAGCTTTGGAGTTTGTTGTAAGGCATGTTCTGTTAAATCCCAGTGTCATAACTATGTGCCAAAACTAAAAAGCAAGTTGCTTTAACACAAGAAATCTGGTTGGTCACATACACTCATCTATTCAAGGAATAATTTTCTGTTTGAATGTAAAACCTTGCAAACATGTTGCCAGTCTCAACCTCACAGCTAAAGGTTCTGAATTAATTATCAAACTAGCTGGTTGATGCTGACATTTACAAACAAATCACATGTAATCAAAGAGTTACATGTCACTGAACTGAGATGACTGAATAAAGATGCAATGGAATCTTGTAAATGCGGAAAACTAAAATGTAGATATCACTTTGTTCCACAGTAAGGCTGTTAGGTCCCTCTCATTTATTTTAAATTATTTTTGGTAAAACTATTATGGATTGCTGGTATTAAAGGGTTAGTTCACCCAAAAATTAAAATTAGCCCATAAATTACTTACCCTCAAGTGATCCTAGGTGTATATGACTTTCTTCTTTCAGACGAATCCAGTCGAGTTATATTAAAAATTGTCTTTGATCTTTCAAGCTGTTTCATGGCACTCAGCGGGTGTTGCATGCTTCAGTCCAAAACAAGTTAAATAAAAAGCGCCCATCCATTAAAAAAAAAAGTGTCTCACACGGCTCCGGGGGGCGAACAAGGGCCTTCTGTAGCGAATCGATGCGTTTTTGTAAGAAAAATATCCATATTCAAAACGTAATAATCACTTTAATGTAGCCTGCGCTCACTGTTGTAAACGGAAGCAGTTCCGGAGCGGATGACGTATGGAGGTCAGTGTTGCGCATGCGCCGCTCAGAAGTGACGCACGTGGAAACGCAGCGGAGAGATCAAAACAAAACAACGGTCACTAATTAGAAGTAAAAAAATGAGGATTTGTGAAGAAGAATGTTGGAGGATTTCATTATAAGCCAAGAGGATCAACTATACCCTCTGCTGGCCGTAAACAGATAGTCCATGCAACTTCCATTTTATAGTCCAGTTTATATCTCATACTTCAGGAAAACACAATTTAATGAACCCATGAGACCTGTGACAGACTTTCAAAAAAGGGCAATGAAAAGCGCAACGCTGACCCCATACGTCATCCGCCCGGATCTGCTTCTGTGTACAACTGTTGGCGCAAGCTACATTAAAGTGATTATTACGTTTTGAATATGGATATTTTTCTTACAGAAACACATCGATTTGCTACAGAAGGCCTTTGTTCACCCCCCGGAGCCATGCGAGACACTTTTTTTATGGATGAGCGCTTTTTATTTAACTTGTTTTGGACTGAAGCATGCAACACCCGCTGAGTGCCATGAAACAGCTTGAAAGATCAAAGACAATTTTTAATATAACTCGACTGGATTCGTCTGAAAGAAGAAAGTCTTATACACCTAGGATCACTTGAGGGTAAGTAATTCATGGGCTAATTTTCATTTTTGGGTGAACTAACCCTTTAACTGACATAAGCTGGCATTTTGATTTCTGAATTGAACAGTAACTAGCTATCGTCCTCTACTCCAGCAATATGGAATCATTTCTGTCAATCAACTCAACTAATAAATCTGCTGAGATGAATAACCTTCATATTAATTCAAATACACTTTCTTTGCTACATTAGTACATTCAGAGTTCACTACTGTAGGTCAAAAAAGGCCAATGAAAAAGTCTCTCATATAATATTTCATTCGATAACATTGTAGATTAAAAAACTGAGAGGTGAAAAAATTGTGCAAAAATGAAAAAAGCAATTGGCATGTTCATGTGGCACCAGATTTGATCTACATTTCTTGAAACAAGAGCGAGAGCAAGTTTATAGAAAACCACCTTAGATTGAGACTCAGAATATGTAAGCTTTAATGAGAGTGGTTATGTGTGGTAGGTAAAGACTAATAGCTGAATTAGATCAGATCCTTGTAATCCTGAGCGATAGAGTCTCTCACTCTGGTCGAGGAGTCAGGTTGTTTTTCTCAGGTTGGTAGAAGTGTTCCACGATGACATCAACCAAGTTATCCAGTTCAGTTTTCAGCTGGTTAAGATCACTAGAGAAAAGAAAGACAGAAAACTTGTTTTTACATGATTATGAGCAATTTATGCACCATGTGCCAATACTAAGTTTTTAGCAAGTGCCAAGACTATGATTAAGGCTCTATGGCCATGATGATCACACTATCATACTGCTCTTATTATTATTGTAGTGTATTGTGTGCGCACAGTATGCAAAATTTCTGTATACACTGAAAACCCTGATGACGCACTACCTTAATAAAATAAATATGCTGTATGTGGCACCAACATAGAAGGCTACTGTTGGAAATATTTATCATGTAATAATACTGTTATATAATATATACTATATATACAGAAATATATTAATATCTGTTATTATACAAAAACAATTGTAGCGTACTCAAGCATGTGATCAGCTAAAACAAAAACGTTTTTCCCCATTTAATATGACTATCCATTTTTAAAAACAGTAATATTTAATTACATATAATAAAATAATACTAAAGTAATATAAAATGATATGTAATAAATTATCAAACATATTTGTATTTGAGTATTTTTCTTTTTTTATAAAAACTAAACAAACCAAAGAAATATATTACTATTGCAACTATAACATTATATTGTAATATAAAAAAACAGTATTTCATAACAATTTCACACACACAAATATGTTATATATACTGTATACTGTGTATGTATATATATATATTATACAACATCATTAATAATATTATAACTAAAGTAGTATATAATTAGATGTAATATATTATTGAATATTCATATTGAATATTAATAATAATAATAATAATATGATATACTGTATAGAATAATAATTCTAATAATATATTATAATATTCATAATAATTATTATATTACTATATATTATAATAATTATTATTACTATATGTACTATATAATTATATGTAATATTATATATAGTATATAAATATATTATTATTATTATCAAATGTAAAAATATTATTGCAATAGTAAAATTTCTTTGACTTGTTTATTTTTTTATTAATTAAATAATAATAAAATAAAATCACTTTTAATAATAATAACAGCAATAATTTTACATTATAATAATAATTAAAAAATTAGGCCTATAGTGACGACAGTGTAGAATGATGAAGCTGTCTAAAAACCTGTTTCCTGGTGCGGAACAGAGCTCAGTGTAATATTTGATTTTAGGCTCTGTGCCGCTGGTCCTCATTGTAGCCACGCCCCCGTTAGCAAAGGTGAAGGTAATCATCTGACTGCTTTTACTGGTGGGCAGAACCTGTGACGAACAGAAAAAGACACACAGATATAGGATAAGAAAACTTTAAATAAGATCAGCTATCACAATCATTCTAATCATTATGGGCTACGCACGGCCTTGTTGTCTGTCTGGTTGCTGTCATAGCCTGTCGTAAGATCTCTCACTGCTGTGATGGCAAAGCCCCCGCACTCTTTAGGGTACGAATTCTCCCCGGCATAGTTCCGAAGATGCTCGAACAAGCGTTTAATAGTGTCTTGGTCATGACAGATGAAGTAGGAATTCTTGGAAATGTGGTAACCATACCTGAAAACAGTGCGACAGTGTGAAAATAATGATTAACAAGAAGATACAGTACATACATTATTAGAGATGTCAATGGCAAAGTTTTTGTGACACCTACTCCTCATAAATGGATCTGAGTTGATGGGACAGAGTTCTATTTTTAGAAGTCAGGTAAGAGACAAACTCGCCAGCAATGGCAGCCGCACTTACACCATCTTTGTCCAAAACTGCAGGAGAACACATGTAACCTACAACAACAAAGCAACCAAAGAACGATATTAAAGCTTCTGAGGTTTGCATCAGTTTTTTTTTTTATATATTCCATCTATTATCGATGGAGATCCATTTCATATAGAGGATGGTTAGTTTTAAGTTTAAAACATAAAGGGTTCTTATACTATGATCTGGATTGGCGTAGTATGAATTGATATTGTGATGCATATCAATATTCATTGAATCATAATGATATGTATTACGGCTGTCAAGCGATTATTTCAGACACACCAACTGTGTGTTAACGAGTGAGTCATTCAGTCAGTCGATTCATTCAAACGGCTGATTCATTCGAGAATGAAGCAAGTCACTGAATCATTGGCTCACTCGATTCGTTAAAAACCACACGAAACCCCGCCGTGTGTTGCACAGAGATGCACGACAGTTCTTCTGTGGCTTTGTTAGGACATATTTTTGTTTGAGCAAAACAGACAATATTGTGTCTAAAATGTAACACAATATTACCTTCTTGTTTATTGAATGATCAATATCACATTTGCAATCGTGCAGAAAAAAAGGGCACTCTTGCTTGTGACATTTCTAAACTATATATGATAGAAATATAAGACAAAAACCCATACAGGGGCATTTTTGCCCTCATATCTTGAATTTTATTTTTGAATTTATAAGGCATTTCCTCCAGTATTTCTGCTAATTATGTGGTATATACATATATATATGTGGTATGTTAAGTTAGATTATTTTATGACTAATTCTATTCATTTGAATATTTTAAGTCATCCATTGGCCCACTTGGAAGTTTGCCGAGGCCCCTCCCGTCTCTAGGGTCTGTGGTTTGAACCCAGGATCAGTGGGTTACCAATCCTGACTGTTACCATCAGAACGACACACAAATGCACATAAATGTTTAGCGGCGTGGATGTCAGAGTACCAATAGCTTCTTCAAAGGCAAACAGAACAGTCTTTCCCTGGTCCATCAGCTCTTTGGCTCGGTTTCCCATCCATTTAAAGCCCGTTAGAGTTTCCTGCAAAAGAGACATGCAGAGAGAGAGTCAGTAAAAACATCAAGAGTGAATAATCACATTTTTTATTAGAAGCAGAGGTACCTCAAAGTGGAAGCCCTCTTTCACAGCGATGGCACGGAGGATTTTTGAGGAGACGGTGCTGGATAGCATGTAGACATCCTTAATGGAGGCTTTTCCATCTTCTTTCTGCTGCTTCCAGCATTGGAAAATCCACCATCCGAGCAAAGCACCCAACTCATTCCCAGAGAATACCATCCACTGCCCACTACAGAAAGAATTATTGCTATTCATAAAATGACACACACAATCCACACGGAATGCCAAATAACACTGACCTCTCCTGCTTCTCTGCAATAGCTAGTCGGTCAGCGTCAGGGTCATTTGCCAGAATAACAGTTGCTCCCTCTTTATCTGCCAGTGCGAAGGACAGCATCTACATACACAAACACAGATTATGGCAACTGGCATTACATAATAAGAGCAAAAAAAAAGTACTTTTCCCAAATGTCATAAAAAGACCATTTCAACAATACAATTTGTGTGTGTGTGTGTGTGTGTGTGTGTGTCAGTGTATTGTACCAAGACTCCCTCTCCTTCCTCAGGGTTGGGGTATTTGACTGTGGGGAACTCTGGGTCAGGATCTTTCTGCTCTTCCACAGCATATGGAGGCTGAAGGTCGAAGGCCTTAAAAGCAGCCTGGACAAAAATATGGCCCACCCCATGAACTGACGTATGGACAACCTTCACCTTTGTATTCTTATTCAGCTCCCTGTTAAAACACAAGACGAATGAAAATCAGACTGATGAAGTATTAGGGCTGGGTATTGACTTGACTTCCAGATTTGATTCAGATTCTTTATGGACTCAAATTGATTTAGATTTGATTTCAAAATTATTGAGCTAGGAATATTTCAGCTACATTTATATATTTGATCAAATTTATATATTTGAAATATATTTTTTATTATTTTTCTGTATATATATATATATATATATATATACACACACACACATGAAAAAATAGATACAGTGGTGTGAAAAAGTGTTGGCCCCCTTCCTGTTTTTTTATTTTTTTGCATATTTGTCACACTTAAAAGATTCAGTATTTGACCCTAGCACTTTCTATTCTATTTTAATTCTACAGTATTTTTTTACTTTATTATAAAAAAAACATTTATATTTTTATATTTTT